CTGTCAGAGCTAAATTATTATGCTCATTGTCACTTCCTCCAAAGAATCGACACATTGACAATCATCAAATCAATAATATGGAAAAATATAGCCTCTTTTGGCTTATTTCTGTTTGGCACTCTGTTTATTCTAACTGTTCCTAGTGGTAACATACCTTGTTTCGTTAAATAAATTTGCAATGGGACGCTGTTAAACCAATTATCAAATAATATTTTGTGATTTATAAGTCTTAGTACTGTTTGTGTTAGCCGAAGAACCACATTTGAACTTACTCCTAAATAAGGAAAATTATCTGATATAACATTAGTTTGGCTTCCTACAAAAATTTCATAATCGTAGAAAAATCCGCTGACACCACTAAGACCAAACGCCTTATATTCCCATTTGTGGAGTTTTTGCGGATTGTATTGTTTTATAGATGAATGCGCCTTTGTTAGAATTATCTGCTCAAAATTCCTCTTTCGTAACTTTGAGTAGCTGATTGCTTAGTTTATTTAGTAGCGATCCGATTTTAAAAAGTTTGTCATGACCAGGATTACCGGCAGCTATAGCATCGTTATTGTTCGCAAAATATAAAAAACGTTTTATTTCTTCCCATCTATTGCATGACAACATCTGAGATCAATGGATCAGTCAGGCTCATCGAACAAAAAGACAGAAGAGCTAATGTAAAAGTAGTGGGGGCAAAAATATTGTTAGACGGAAAGTGCTATTTTGAAAGGCCACATTAAACAAGGAAAGAGAGTCACTTTCCATGTTTAATAAATCAAATTTAGTTGGGTTATGTTATTGTTTGTCCCAACTGCCACATAAAAGCTTATATATATTGAAGTTTTTTAACAATTGTGTCACATTTTAGACTATTGTCGTTATTATTTAATTAAAATTTTTCTCGTCTAAGACTCATTCTGAAAAATATTTTATAGCTACTTTAAATTTGGCGCCATTGCATTCTCGTATATGTCCTCCATATTAAGAGGCCACTTTTATGAATTTTGGTCTCCTTTTCATAACGATTAGATTTCCTCTTTTGTCTTTTTGCTTGATGGTCAGGCTATAACTTCTAGCGTTTGGCAATTGCACTATTGACATATAAATGCAGGTGCCTAAGAACTATTTTAGCTCTTTTTTAGAAAGTTTAAAAGGTTTTCGAGGTCTTTGTCGACTGAATATAATATAGTTTGATAAACTATATCTTTGATCATCTTATTTGTTAAAAAAAATTAAAAAATGCGTAAGGGGAATCCGCTTGTTGCAACTCAGGTGGCAGGTCAGTAGAACTGAGAAATCCTATGTCATCATCTGATAGCTCTTTGTCTTCATTACCATCTGGTATGTCCACCACCACAAGAGTTTCACCATAAAACTTGATCCATTATCTAAAATAAAAAAAGTAATAATACCTAGTTCAGAACGCATATTGTGTCATATATGAAAGAGAGTTTTGCACGACAGTGTATATTGTGACATATATGGCACAAGCATATTTTTGATCAAAAATACCAAAATATAAAGAAATACGTGACAATACTTACAGAAATTTTTTGTTGAAGGTCTATCCTTGATGTCGTTTTTTTTTGTACAAAAAATATTCAGTAGAAACTTCGATAATTGAATGTCAAATTGCCCAATTCTTATGAACAGCTGTCAAATTTTCATAAAAGTTTACTTTGCCGCATTGCATTTGCACGAAATATGTGCTCTATATGGACATGCCATGAATAAATACTTTAAAATAAGATTGTATCTCCAACGGTTAGGTATAAAACTAAGTATTGTGCCATATATGACCCACTATGTGGTAAGGGGTTAACCGTATGCTCGTTATTGCTTTCTTACATTACATTTCCAATTATTTTCTCTATTTCTATTTGTTTTCTAATATGGCGAAACGGCAAAAAATCATATTCGGTACTTATATTTTTCTTCATTTAACTTTTATTCATATAAAAACATTGTAACCTCGGAAATCTTTTTTGGATGGTGCTAGAAAGGTCACCAATGGAGACACTGCGGACGGCAGCCAGATGGTTGGTGGAGAGCGAGTCGTGGGTTCGAAACTAGCTTTTGGAACCGGGAATGGGTCCAACGTATGAAATAAGTAAAGATAAGGCAAGATAAGATATATTAGAAAAGATACAGAAATAGACAAAAAGATAGATGGGTAAAATTACCAAAGATACGATAAGATAGAAACAGGGTGCCACTCAATTTTTTGGGCTTAAGGAGAAAATTTAGAAACCTTAGAGAAGAAAAGAGATAAGGAAAGATATTTAGGTTCAGAGATCAAACCCAAGGAAAGATACCAACAGTTAATTATCAAGTGAATTTGGTCAACACACTATATAAATAAATAATAAATATATTACTTACTTACGAAACTTAATCAGCCTGATCTTTCTACTAGTCAAAGGTATAATAATATTTAAAGGTAAAAGGCAAATACTCAGAGTTACTATTTTATCAGGGAACTTGTTAGGCAGAAACATTACCAAATGCCTAAACTACATTCTCTGGGATAAAAAAATCACAAGAACGACGAAAAAACGAATATATAAGACGATGGTTGAGCCGGTGGTAACATACGGAGCAGAGATATGGGACACTAGTAAAAGAAACAGGAAAAAATTACAAGCTACCGAGATTTTATGAGAAGAAGCTGTAGATTGACAAGGATGGACAGAATCCGCAATGAAGAAATAAAACGTAGAATGGAGCAAGAAAAAGACATTATAGATGAAGTCCAGAAAAAACAACTAACTTGGTTCGGTCATGTAAACAGAATGGCAGACGAGAGGTGGCCAAAGAAAATATTAAAATGGATCCCAACCGAAAGAAGGAAAAGAGGGCGTCCAAGAAGAAGCTGGCGAGATGACGTGAATGAAGCCATGGAAGGAAGACAGCTAAATGAAGCCGACACCCGAGATAGGAAACGATGGAAACTAGGGACAGGAAAACAACGACAGTTGTAAACAACCTGTACTATATAACTTGTTAGGAGCCGACAAATAAAATACATACATAAAACAATAACAATATATTCAGCAACAAAATTATGACGCTGCTGAATGCAACACAAGTAATAAAAGTACACCAACAACTATGAAATGGTGGTATATATATAAAAATAAGCAGTAATATAATTAGAAAATACCTTTACAAAGATATATAATACAATCATGTACAAATAAAGTTTTGGCGTATTTCGAGATATTACAGCAAAAAATATATAAAAAAAGTTATAACCAACACAAAAGATAACAAAAATTAATCAATTCTAAATTTACAAAAATACAAAAAGGTTACAGAAATGAAAACATAAGAATTTAACCAAACCGCACTTGGTTAAGTGGATTAACTATCTCTCACTATTAATTAATGAGAAACTGAGACTTAAATGTTCATAATTATTACTTATTGAAATTTCTTGAATCTATTGAAATGTTCTTTAAATTGAATGCAAAAATCAGCAATCTACAGGTGAAAACATGGAGGAACTTTAGATACGTCCAGATAATGACAGATGATATGATACCATACCATATTACTCGCCCAGATAATTTGAAGATAATGATTACTTACAGTAAATCTTGACGACTGCTGTACTACGTACTTCACTGAAGCTATATACCTACTGTAGTTAATACTTTACTTGTATCCAACACTGACTTTAATTAACATTAAAGGTCCTTTATAACCATATATAATCTAATATAGTATAAGAAAAGAAAACTCAAATATAAAGTGTATACAAAACAATTCACAGACGGTAAGATAACAGATACGATCATGTGAGAACTCAACGAGAGCCCACCGAGAAGTAACTTGGTTTTTCTAAAATTTTACAACCTACCCAAGAAAAAAGAGGGGATATCTCCCACTCAAAAATTATAGGCCAGTCGTATGTAGTTCTGAGAAGGTAAAAAGATTCTAATGAACATCCAAACCAACGGTACCCTTCTAGCTATAAATGTAATGAAATATAAATCTTCTAGATTAGGTTTTTCCGAAAAATTACTATACGTGCCTTCGGAATATTTACAAATCTATCATAAAGGAACCCGTCTTCATCGAAAAGCATTACTACGTGCGTTCGAAGACAATTATCGAATTTATGAAAAAGACCCCGCCTTCACCAAAAAGCATTAGTTCCTTTCATACTCGGGATTAAGAAGGAACCTTAAGGAAGGAAGGAATTAAAAATCTTTCGTACTCGTTAAAACTAATTTCTACGGGAAATTTCGTGCTATTTTGGTGGGTAAATTCTTCCGTCATGACATTTCTAATCGTCCACACGATCATCTTCCATGGGTAAAGCGAATTAAAAATAATTTAATATATTTATTATATAAAAAAATGTTACAACATTGTACGCGTTTGAGTCTTCTTCTAGTGCCGTATCCACTAATGAAGGTTGGCTGTAACCATTGCAAATTTTTGCGTTTGAACCAAGGATATATCTCCCTTTCTTTAGTGGATGTCATTTCTAGTCACTTCTTTGTTGACTAACACTTGAATTATTTTGCCTGTTGCTTTGTATTAGTTTCTTAAACACTCGTAACGAGGACACTTCGTATCCTAACAAGTTGTTTGCTTCAGAGCCATCTGTCACAAGTTTATGTATTTCACAAAGCTAAATTATATATCAATGTTTCCCATAACTGAATACATCAATTATACACTCTATTTATGTGTTATGCCCTTTGCTTCTATCCGTAACTCTTTAAATAAAATATAGACATTTCTTCGTAATATATCTCTTAATTTATCCCACTATGTACTAGCACGGAAACAGATCTTTACAAACTTTGGCTAACTTTTGACATAACTATAAACATGTCTTAGCAAAATTAATGATTTTACTAAATTGCTTACAGAAATAATTCATAATGAAAAAATCTTCTCTAAAACGCCCGTAGATGGCTCTGTGTCTCCATAAATCGATTCCTTTCGCGGAGTCTCATCGTCTCGCAGCTCTACCCCGAAAATCAATACCTTACATTTCGAATTCGCTACGTAGCGAGTGCGATGTTCTTAGCATGTTTTCTTCCGGAAAAGTTATTTTGATATAAAAAAAAGTCAAAAGCAATTACGATGAAAGTCCAAGAGCTGCCAGCCGAGGCAGGCCCCAATGGCATGGAGCAGGAGATGGCTGGTGCACAAGATACGATATATTTGTGTAATTTCCGAGTATCAGTGGACGGCGAATGGTTGTGTCTGAAAGAACTGCAGGATGTCGAATTCAACATGCAGGAGTCTATAACAAAGGCCTTGTCGACCCCTTCCCCAGAGATTCCAGTGCATCCGTTCGGTATGATGGTTTTATCTTAAATACAACACATAAATAGATAAGAAAATCGTCATTGTTGTGATTCATTGTTGCATTAGAATTAATAAACCGCTTAATCATTTAGTCATCATAAGTTTCTTAATAGAACATGTAAATCAGTAAACGATGTTCTGATTTAAAATATGTGTAGAAGTTTTACAACTGTTTCCATATTTAGTTAGTCTATTTTGACCAGTTCACAACTCAGATTGTAGAATATATTTATATTAATAATGCACTTTTAAAGTATAGTAGCGACATTGGTCCTAAGTTATCATGTACGATAACTAAGAACAAAAAGTAAACTTTTAGATATACATCATTACTTAGTCGTTTTCCTGGTTTAATATTACTATAATTAGTTCTGTCAGATTGTCACATGTTTACAAGATTCTGTAATCTGATTTTTAAAACTCGATGTAAGGTAGTTATATGCAATTAAATTGATTGTTTTTTCATCTATCCTATTAGGCTAGTAAAGAAAAAAGCTGACAAAATCTTATACGGCTTTTTGAAGGATCTAAAAGGTATTTGAGGGATAGCTGATGACAAATCCTTGAAGTCGTACAGCTGATTTTGCTTTGTTTTTTTTTAACAATCACAAGAAGTGACCAATAATTTTTTGCCTATGTAACGTTTCTTATACATTTTAGAGAAAAATGGTTAAATAACTATTGTAGATTTTAAAAAGCTCTTTAATTTGCGAATTTCTAAATTCAAATACATAAATAATTGAACTTTGAAAAATAAGGCTATTATCGAGCACAAGTTAATTAAATCTAGCCCAAGTACTTTCGCTTAAAATAGCATCTTCAGGGGCATCTGAAATAAGCCAAGAAAACGTTTTTTAGATGAAGGAAATTAGTTAACTTCGATAAAAAACTCGAAGTTAATGGATGAAAAAAAGTTTTTGAGATTAACGTTTTAGACTTACTTCGTCAAAATATAAACTATCCGGCAAGCGTAGAATATGGAAACATTAATAATAACAAAATTGTACAAAACACTACACTAAAACGAGGACAAACAGTTTAAAATTACTTTAAAGATTCTACGCTACATTCTTTGTCAGTATCTGGAGGGATAATGATCTAAGCGGAAATGATACGGTGACATGTGACATATGATAACTTTGATAGGCAGTCAAAGTTATGGATCTGTGATCAGCACATATTAAAATTCTGTATAAGTTGTCATTGGCCAAAGGTCCAACTAGAACTACTACTGAAAAAATCAGCTGATGAAGTATGACATATAGTTGGACCTTTGGCCAATGACAACTTATACAGAATTTTAATATGTTCTGATCACAGATCCATAACTTTTTTACGTTTTATAGAATATTTTAATCTCATTCATTACGTTCTTTTCAATTTTAATGACTTTTATATCAAACAACTTTACAACCACACCATCAACACTCCTATTCAGCTTAATAACTGGCAGTTGTTTCAAATCCATAAAATCTTCGTATCCCATCTCATTTACAATGTACGGCGTCCCACGTTTTTTTCGAACTTCTGATGGCACAGGCGTATTGAGAAAGTACGTAAATGGGTCCAGATTTAAGACTTTTTTTACTTCCTTCTCAATCGTTGAATGTACTGCGTCCCCTTAATTTTGTGTGTGGCCTCGGATTAAGAACTTATGGGTTATTAATTTTACTTTGAGATTTAATACTGCATAGACGTACATTCCAATGATAAACTGGTTTTTCTGTTGGCCACAGCAGTTATCAGAATAGAACACTATATCAAGATCTTTATATTGTTCTGAAGCTATTTTCTTGTGGCATTGTAAATTAATTACTATTTATAACTGGGAATAAGCCACAATTACAGATAAAAATACGTTTATTGACGTTTCAATTTCCAATTCGGAAATCGTTCTCAAAATACAAACAGTAAATTAAACAAATTTTGTTTTTTGTTACATAGTGAAAAAATTCTTCTAATAATTTAATTTTATCTGACTCATTTATATTGACAATTCAGACATACAGTATGCATTTTAAAGTAGACGACTTTAAAATGATATTGCCAATATTGTTGAGTTGCGCTCCTGGGACGACTTTACTTATAAGATAGTTCATTCGATTACATGAAATCAAGTTTAACTTGAGAATATCCGTCAGAAAAAAATCATAGCATGTAATTCGTCTTTAAAAAGACAAACACATGACATGATGACAGTAAAATTCTCCTGTTAGTGATTCCATAGTAAATTATGAGGGAAAAACCAGGAAAAAAACCTCAATAATACTATCCCGACATTGTAAGTATTTGTTCGTGAATTTAGTTTACCTTCAACAAACATCAAAATTCTGATTTTATATGTTACGTTATTTAAAAAACATAAATGATGTATGCTCTATATGTTACTGACTTACTAATACTGGTATTTTCTTATTAATAACTTCCTTTTTCAATATTGGTAAACAGATCCTACTACATTCTGCCGAGGAATTTGCGACACAATTGGCCTCATTTAGCATAATTAGAGCCGCTTCTTTGATTTTTCTTTTTTTACCATCTGTTTCTTTTAGGACTATATTTGAATTATTCCATTGAATCCTATGTTCATTATCCCATGCGTGTTTACATATTTGAGATCTATCAAATTCTCTATTTTTAATATAAGATTGATGTTCACTTATTCTAACATTTAATGGCCTTGATGATTCACCTAAATAAAACTGATCGCATTCACAAGGTATTTTATAAATGCAATTCTTTGTCCTTTCTTGTTGATTGTTAGGTTTGGTTTTGGACAAAATAGATCTCAACGTGTTTGTTGTTTTGAATGTTGTTGAAATGTTGAATTTATTTCCTATCCTTTTAAGTTTTTCTGATAATCCTTTTATGTACGGTATTGTTATTTTCCTCATATTATTAATGTAAAAAAGGGAATAATTAAATCCTTATACGATAGAGCCAAAATTACATGTTCTAACGAAAATTCGTTCTTGGAGGAAAAACATTTGTTAACATCTGTTTTATTAAAAAATGATTATCCTTTATCGTTTATAAATAAGGAATTTTCAACAATCGATCGAATAGAACAGAACAACTTAGAACGAGATCCTACAGCATACACAAGGAATAATATGAGGAAAATAACAATACCGTACATAAAAGGATTATCAGAAAAACTTAAAAGGATAGGAAATAAATTCAACATTTCAACAACATTCAAAACAACAAACACGTTGAGATCTATTTTGTCCAAAACCAAACCTAACAATCAACAAGAAAGGACAAAGAATTGCATTTATAAAATACCTTGTGAATGCGATCAGTTTTATTTAGGTGAATCATCAAGGCCATTAAATGTTAGAATAAGTGAACATCAATCTTATATTAAAAATAGAGAATTTGATAGATCTCAAATATGTAAACACGCATGGGATAATGAACATAGGATTCAATGGAATAATTCAAATATAGTCCTAAAAGAAACAGATGGTAAAAGAAAGAAAAATCAAAGAAGCGGCTCTAATTATGCTAAATGAGGCCAATTGTGTCGCAAATTCCTCGGCAGAATGTAGTAGGATCTGGTTACCAATATTGAAAAAGGAAGTTATTAATAAGAAAATACCAGTATTAGTAAGTCAGTAACATATAGAGCATACATCATTTATGTTTTTTAAATAACGTAACATATAAAATCAGAATTTTGATGTTTGTTGAAGGTAAACTAAATTCACGAACAAATACTTACAATGTCGGGATAGTATTATGAGGTTTTTTTCCTGGTTTTTCCCTCATAATTTACTATGGAATCACTAACAGGAGAATTTTACTGTCATCATGTCATGTGTTTGTCTTTTTAAAGACGAATTACATGCTATGATTTTTTTCTGACGGATATTCTCAAGTTAAAGTTGATTTCATGTAATCGAATGAACTATCTTATAAGTAAAGTCGTCCCAGGAGCGCAACTCAACAATATTGGCAATATCATTTTAAAGTCGTCTACTTTAAAATGCATACTGTATGTCTGAATTGTCAATATAAATGAGTTAGATAAAATTAAATTATTAGAAGAATTTTTTCACTATGTAACAAAAAACAAAATTTGTTTAATTTACTGTTTGTATTTTGAGAACGATTTCCGAATTGGAAATTGAAACGTCAATAAACGTATTTTTATCTGTAATTGTGGCTTATTCCCAGTTATAAATAGTAATTAATCAAGATCTTTATTAGAAAAAGAAGACTTCTTTTGCAAAAACTTCAAAACACAGCTACCTATTTCATTGGCTCCACGATTGCCTTGAGATTCATCCCAAAAGTAACATTCAACATTGTCTGTTTTCAACTCCGATATGGTAAAATGCAAACAATTTATTTTGGACTTATGATAGAATGTTGATACGTCTCCTTTAGGAACGGTTATTACCTCTTGTAAGTCATAGCATGCAACGATAAAACAATATGTATCTTTCTCTTTGTCACTAGCTTTTTCTTCGCGACTTTTTTGTTTTTCTGCTAAATTTCGGTCATAATCTTCCTTCAAAGCTTCCTTTCTGGGATATTCAGCCAGCTTATATATTGTGCATTGTTCACATTGGTCCTTTTTAGGTACGAACAAACTAATATTAAATTCTTTTAATATGTATATTAAATGTCGAATAATACTTTAGATGTCGGTGTTTAATATCCTAATTATCTAATTAAATATACATTTTTAAATAAAACAATGACACTTTACTTAAAATGACGTCTATTTAATATGACAATAAATTAAAAATATGACATTTAAACCACAAAAATGACACTAAGCAAAATATGCCCCTTATTTATTCTATATAAACACAGTTATCTGGAATAGTTGAGTAAAATATCGGCACTTTACAAAATATGCCAATAATGAAATCATAATTTGTTGTATTTTTACTAACAAGTAATTAAAAAAACGACGTTATACAAAATATGTCACTTTTTCACTCACATCAGCTAAGACTCGTTGCGGCGGCTGGA